CTCTAATAACTCTCGTGAGCTTCTTCTGGTTTTCTGTATAGCTCTTGTTACTGTCTTTCCCATGGGTTGGCGTCGTTTTCCTTTCCCGATTCGATACTTGGTCAAAGCCAGCACGGCAACCCTAAAGCGAATGAGCGCCTTTCAGATAATAACCAAGTCGGCCCCTATTCCCACTGAGGGATGATCTCGGTCTTGATAGTCCATCGCATTCTCATCAATATCTCACATACTCACTACGCCTCCAGCACTATCTACTATCATATGCTAGCATGGCGACCGGGCCTGTTGCCACAAGCGATTTATTTTCCTTGCGAGACAGTCTTCGCAACGTTCCGGAACATTCACCGGGCACGCAACACGAGTCCGGCGACTCTGGCTTGACCGCTGACATCAACAACAAAGAAGGGCACCAACTTCAAGAATACCCACGCATCGCGACGCTTGAACAGCCAGAGAAGAGTCAATCCCTCTTCCAGAGCGATTGTAAGCATACGGGAGACCAAGTCCGATCGGTCCTCATCCATTCCAATCGACACCGATCCAAAGAGAGAGATGACGGCCGGTTGGAAATGGATTTTTTCGGTTGGCTTGACTTTGGCACCTATCGGTCGATGACCGGCTGCGCACTCTGAACGCTGGAAAGCGAGGTTGCTTAGCGCTGTTTAGCATCACGTCGCGTAGAGATCAATTCTGTCGGTAGTTTCAAACAACCTTCAAACAACCTCAATTCATTACTACGGGCAGCGGTATACAACATAACGACCTTGCCTTTCTGAAGTTCTGCTGGGGAGTTGCTGAGAGAATAATGATCCTGATGTATAGCTTGGCCCTGTGTCTCTGAACGAAGGCCTGGATCAGGCATGATATTCCCAAGAAAGCGCGGGAACTAGAGTGTTGGACCAACAGGTTCAATTCGCAAAAAGTACGATCCTGGGTAATTAGTTCTCAGACAACGTCAACATCCTATCCGGCTTCAGTCGCGTTGTCCCAGTTTTCCAACGTTGATCGCGACGGGGATGCCTAGGCACAGAAGCGAGCGAAGGCCTGTTCCAGGAGAACGCATGTCAGGCCGGGTTGGCAAGACATCTTGAAGAGAACGCTCAACACAGGATGACCTCAAGGTTGTCGAATGGTCAGCTGCGGTGACGGACCTGACGGCAAGACTTGAGACGACCTATCGCCGAAGAGCATGGGATCTATGCTGGAAGAAAGCGTGGAAGCTCCTGGCAAGAGGAATCCATCCATCCGGAACCTTCATAACCAGCGTTCCTAGCCCG